ATGACTATAACATGCAAAGGCTTTATCACACTGAGTATATTCAGAGGCTTTCTCTCCATTATGGTTTCTTTCATACCTGCAAAGATAATTGACACATGTAAAAGTTTTACCATGTACATTACACTGATGAATCTTAATATCTGTAGGAATTAATTTTATGATTTTGTTTAATTGTAAAGAGGAATCAGATTTTAAGTTTACATTCATGTGCTCTCCTTCAGTAAGGGATGTTTTGTATCTTTGAAGATCTTTTGATGTAAAGGGTCTTTTTTTTAAGTGACCCACATTTATAGCATCGTTTTCTACGAGATTTTTTTTTTTTACATATTTGAAAGGAACTAGACGAACTCAGTTTTAAATAACCTTACATTCCTTTTGCATTCTTATGTTTTCCTGTAGTACAATACCTACCACAATAAATTGTACTAGGACAAACAAAAGGAAGTACACAGTCCAACACTCATAGGGCTTATCTTCAGTGTGAGTTTGCTGACATCTTCCCAAGGAAGTTTGAAAACCAATTAAATATAATCTTATAGCACATTCAACAAATCTACCCAGTGTTGAAATAATAAATATCTTTCCTATCTTCTCATTATTCTGAAAGAGATACAGTCCCTCTTTCCATTTTGGGAAGCTTACTTGTGACATAAAACATTCTTATTAAAGGAATAAGAAATAAATGGTTGTCCACTGAATTCACAGTCTGACTTTCTGTTCCTCACAGACATGTGGTGTAGAAATTAATGTTTCTCCAAAAGAGCCCTTTTGACTCACATAAAGTAAGTCTATAAATAAGTTTGGCAAAGTCACAAGTACATGAGTAACACTGGCTTTACTACAGTCTATGTATTTTTTGGACAGTTTTAAACACACACTTATTATCTATTCAATGTGTACATGTGTGTTCCTTGTGCAATATCTGAGTGTTATGAAAATAAATGGATTGGCATTTCTACAGCATTGTTCTCATGGGGCTATGATTCAAATGGTGGTATCAGGTAAGAAATCATTTCCTTCTCTTCTGACTTTAGAGGAATGCCTTGGAAACATATACCAGTTACCTCATATTGAGGCATGTGATTTTATGAGAAATCAATAATCATCAATATACTTTAAGCTGTGTTTATTTATACTATTGTTTTTCCTTAAATCATCCACGACAAATTAAAATTTCTTCAGAGACAAATATACACCAAGTTGCAAATAAAAATTACCTTCCATGTTTTTTAGCACTTTGACAATGATCTTCAAAATTATGGTCTTCCCAACTGTAACCTAATATATAGTAACAGAAAGTAGATAATATATTAATGAATATTGTGCAAAACTGAATATCTTAAGTGAACTATGCCTTAGTTATTTTGCTCATTCTTACTTTCTTCAACAAAAATATAGAAAAGTATCAATAAATAATACAGAGTTGTCCCCTTATTTTAAAACCTGAAGGAAAGTTCACAATCTTACCAATAGCTGTGAGGTTCCTGTATGTTTCCAGCATCACATCTTTGTAGAGACTCTTTTGGGAAGGATTCAGCAAAATCCACTCATCCTGAGTGAAATTAATGCGCACATCTTCATAGGTCACTGAATTCTAGAATAATACAACCAACAGTAAACCAAAGTGTGATCCTGACATTGGATTCTTCTTTTAAAATGATATCTTTTTATAATGCTGCTGCTTCTCACACTTCTACCATGACATTACAATTAATGTAATCACCAGTCACTTTAGAAGGAAACTGAAGAAGAGGTTCATATGTGCCATCCCTTGGCCCTTTAAATAGGATACAGCCTTGAGAAAGAAATGCCAATAAACAGACATACAGAGACAGACAAGCAAGCAGATCAACACTACTGAGAAAACATTAGAGAAACAGGAAGAACAATGATTATCTAGAAAAGTGATGGGGAAATTTTGATATATTGACTCTTGCCTTTAATCCCAGCAATCAATGAAAAAGCAGAAGAATTAAATTGAGGTGGATGTCAGTCAAAGCCTATGCAATGAGTTACAGGTAAACCAGAGTTACAAATTAATAAAACCCAGTATCCATCCAAAAAGCATTCAAATAAAAAGTGTAAAAAGAAATCAGAGGTTTTACTGAAGTTCTTACACAAAGTTTTGTATTCACTTTAGTTCTACATTCATCTTCCAGAACCTACAGTGGCCCAGGTTAAACTGTTCCATAATAAGATCTTAATAACAGGGAGTGCATGTTTAACACTTACAAATGGACTAAAGAAAACATCAGCCCCGCAAATGATGATCATAAACAACATAGAGTAAGGGAGATGGCTCAGCAATTAAGTGGTCTTGCTGTCCTTGCAGATAAGTGGGCACTATTGCCAATACTAAAGGGGGCTTGTAATTATCCATTATTTCAACTTCATAGGTTCTGATGCCTCTTGTGACAACCACGAGAAACAGGCACGCCTGTGGTACATACCCTTGAATATAGATACAACCTCATATTCATTGAAAGCATTCAAAACTAACAAATTAGAGGCAGGTAGAAAGTCACACTCCTGCAGTGCAATGATTCAGAAGGCAGAGGTATTGATGTCATGGATACTACTCTTCTGGGAAAGAGAATGATACCCTCCACCAAACTTCAAATTTCAAGATGTAGGTGAAGTTCAGCATAGCAACTTATCCTTGGGGCTGGAGAGATGGCTCAGTGGTTAAGAGCATTGCCTGCTCTTCCAAAGGTCATGAGTTCAATTCCCAGCAACTGCATGGTGGCTCACAACCATCTGTAATGAGGTCTGCTGCCCTCTTCTGGTCTGCAGACAGACACACAGAGACAGAATATTGTATACTGAATACATAATAAATAAATATTTTTAAAAAAAACTTATACTTGATATGT